CCAAAAGGACGAAGAAGGGAATCTTCAGGAAAACCAGCAGAAATGGACGGCAGCAATCCGAAGCCAAAGCGGAACAAAGGGAAAAAGAACTCACAGAGGCCAAGGGAAGTGCCATCTGGAAACTATCAACACGGGGAAAACAAGGGACATTACAATCCCAACTATACAAGGTGAAGAAACGTTTGCGGGGAAGTGCCAAGCTCTAAGAGCCCAACTCTTCCCCACAAATTGGACGTCCCCCAACAACCCCCCACTCCAAATCAGACCCCCATCCTTTGACCTTAGTGACGATTTCCAGGAAGTAACAACAGAAGAAATCACGTCCGCAATCAAATCATGCCCAGCACATTCGGCCACTGGCCCTGACAACATACCATATCCTTTCATACAGGCAACAATTAAGTCAAACACCCAACTCTTCCAGGACATGTTCTCAGCCATGCTCCGACATGGAGTCCAACCGGACCGATGGAAAGTGGCAAAATGCATACCAATCCCGAAACCAGGAAAATCCGACTACTCATCGGCCAAAGCCTACCGACCCATCTCCCTACTACAATGCTTTAGCAAAGTACTGGAAAAGATAGTGGCAACAAGATTATGCACTGCCGGAACCATCCTGGAAACCCTTAGTAAAGACCAATTCGGAGGCAGACCAACTATCTCAGCGATCGATGCCTTACTCCGCACGCTCACGCCCATCCAACAAAACCTCCTGATCAAGCGAACTACAGGAACTACCCCAGACAGACCAGCACTCCTCACAAACGACATACAAGGAGCCTTCAACTGTGTCGACCACCTCCTACTCGCCGAGATCATGACCCAACAAAGATTTCCAACATACCTGACGACCTGGTGCAAGGAATTCAACACCAATCGAACACTTCAATTCCAATTTAACCACGAACTGGAACCACCACGACCATATTCCTCAGGACTACCCCAAGGATCCCCCCTATCCCCAGTACTATTTATGATATACGCCGGGGTAATAACAGACCCCACCAACTCTCCCAAAGAAATCAACACCACCTACATCGACGACGACGCACTCATCCAACTCGCGAAGTCCCCTCTCTTCATCACCAAAAGACTCAACGAAAGGATGGAAGAAAGAATTAAGAAAGCAGAACCCCTTAACATCAAATATGAACCCCAAAAATCCGACCTCGTCTTCTTCAAACCCACAACATCAAGCACCCCGGACCCTAAGAACTCGGTAAAAATCGCAAAAGAAGAAATCCACCCCAAAGATAGACTCAAATACGTAGGAGTCTGGCTGGACTCAACGCTCTCCTTCCGACCACACATCGAAGAAACCATCGCCAAAGGCCTCATAGCCCTAGGCAGAATCAGAAACATCGCCTACCTCCCAGGATCAACAACAAAATCCATCCACCACCTCATCGTCCAAGGTTCCTCCCCACCATCCTATGGGGATCGGAGGCATGGTGGACAGGAGCCGACCACATCCTCCGATCATTATCCCCCCTCTACAACGAAGCCGCCAGGATTATAACAGGCCTACCCCGCTGGACCAAAACCGAAAAACTACTGAAAGAGGCAGCACTTCCCCCACTCGAACACCTCCTCAACCACAAATCGCGGAAGTACGGGACGCGCATCCTCTGCCACCCTGCGGACCACCCACTCAACGAAGGACTCATCCAACTCCTCCCCACCAGAATAAAAAACATTAAAGGCACAGGCCTACATCGGATTGCATCACTCATGCTACCCTTTCAGGAACCAGGTAACCACAGAGAAAGATGGATACAAAACGATACCCTCACCAAACGCATGATAGAAGAATGGAACTCCATCCCACTCATCAACTACCACGAACCAGGAACCCTAAAAATCCCACCAAAGCGAGCAAAACTCCTCCGATCCAAAGCAAAACTCATCCACCGCATACGATGTCAAGTCACTAGGATAGACAGATATGCAGCATTTACGGAACCTGAACCCTGCCAATGCGGCTCGGAACAATCCTCCAAACACACCATGATCGACTGCCCACGATGGACACAACTACGAAGGCCACTTATGGACAAAATCCCGGGGCCGCCCACTTGGGAAAACTGGCTATTACCAACCTCAACGTAGACCTGATTCTACAGTTTGCAACAAAAACCAACCTACTCGACTGGTACGAAATGGACGAGGAGGACCCGGAGGAATGATGATCGGTTTCTTTGGTTTTTTCTCCTTTCTTTTCTGTACCTTCTTTTAAATTTCTTTCATCGTTTCCTTTGTTTCTCTCTTATGTTTGGCGGAGGGTCCGGCGTGCGATAAGTCCTGTACTTCAAAGCAATATAAAAATCCAAATCCAAATCCTGTATCTACCCCAACGAATACTACTTTTGTTCTACGCCTCGTCATAGGGTTCAACTAGTTGTCATACTAGATAGAGCCACTTCGTAGCCCATAGTCCTGAATGCCTATTGTCACGTCCTCGCCTCGGTTGTATTCCTTGGCACCATAGTCCCTACGTCCATAGACCACCGTTACACCAGGTTCCGTTCTTTATCGCCAACCAATACAACACTATAGCCTATAATGTCGGAACACGTTCCTATCGATTACCAACAACTAAGCGACACCCTTCAAACCTTCTTCCAAGAACATCCACAGGTCGATAACACTGTCGGGATAGAAGCTTACGCACTTCTTCAAAGGGCCCAACATGGTCTCGCTCAGTATGCAACGGACTTACAAGAGGTGGAGAGGGAGGCTGGAAATGCAAGGGAGATGTTCGAACGAGACCTTGCTGCTGCCCGAACCCAGCGGGTTGCTGTCGAAGTAGTTGCCCCTGATGAAGAACCGATTGGTGGTGATGATGCCCCACCCGCGCCTCCAATACCACCCGTTGTGGCTACTACTCAGCGGTCGGAAAAGCTTCCAGACCCCGAGGTGTTTAGGGGAGATCGCGATCGAGGAAGATTACACCTATTCAAACAACAGATGAGGATTAAACTATTGGGAAATGCCGACCGCTTTCCCACACTACAGTCCAAGTTATCCTATGCATTCAGTCGACTGAAGGGTATTGCCGCTAATCAATTCTTACAATATGTCGGAGAAGAAGGCATCGCTTTGCCTTCCATGTTGCGGTTTTATGATATCTTAGATACTGCGTTCGGGGACCCTGATCGAATGCGCACAGCTAGAAGGAATCTCAGGAACATCCCCCAGCGAAATCGAACCTTTGCTGACTATTTCGCCGAATTTCAACGGTACGCTGCTGAATCAGGAATGGATGAAGTCTCTCGGATTGAGGCTTTGATGGAGGGCATTAATGCGGAACTCGATGAATCGATGATACACCATGAAACTCCTGCGACAGTAGATGCCTGCGCGACACTTTTGCAACGGTTAGATAATCGACGACGAGCGGCAGAGGCTAAGCGAGGAAGTAAAAAGCCTTGGAGTGCTACTACTGCTCCGACCCCTCGTCCCCCACCAGCGAATCCTGTGCCTACCCCTCGCGCTGCCGCCCCAGCTGTCAATGCACCTATTCCTGAGAACCATCCCTCGTTTCGCCCGGGAGGTGATGTACCAATGGATCTGTCCGGGGGACGTCGTCGCCCCACCCCTACTGAAAGAAACGCCCGCTTAGCTGAGGGCCGATGTTTCTATTGCGGAGGAGTCGGACATATGGTTAGGGATTGCCCCCAAGCAAGGGCAACTGGAAATCAACCAAGGAGACCGGTGATGAGAGGAGCAGCATTGAGGGTAGAGGAAAGTGATAGAAGCGATAACGAGTCGGCAAAAGATTTGTCCCTGCACTAAGTGGCTTAGCCCAGGGACCATTTAAGGATTTTTCTGGAATGCATATTTCTGGTTTTTCGGTATCAGAGGAGGAAATGGATGGGAACCAATTTGTAGTAACTTGTTCAATTTCACAGAATAAAAATACTTTTGTACCCACCTACGCCCTTATTGATACCGGAGCCTCAGGATATGCTTTCATCGATGAATCTTTTGCACGCCACAACAATCTCACCATGACCCCACTCAAAATACCACGCCACGTAGACGTTATAGACGGCAGACCTATCAAATCAGGAAAGATTACTCATATTGTTGATGTCTCGCTAGACATTCACGGCCATCGAGAAACTGCATCATGTTTTGTGACAAAGTTGGGACACTATCCGATTGTGATGGGGATACCTTGGATGCGACGCCATGATGTTACAATTCGACCAAAGGAAAATTTGCTTATCTTCGACTCCCAAAGCTGCTGTCAACATTGTTCGCTTAGTGGAACTGCAATTATGGTTCATGGTATATCAATTCCCCTACCTGAAACTCATACCGTTACCGTCTCAGTGACCGAAAAACCTACATCAGCAAACCTGTAGCCTTCGCCAGACGCCCGGGGCGCTCAGGGCGCTCAGGGCGCTCGGTAGGTAAACTACCTCTCCAGAGATACCGCCAGTGCTCCTGGCGAGGTCTGGCGCACAATATTCCGCCCCAGCGCACACTAGTCCGCACAACGGGCCCCGACACTAAATAATAGCGCCCGGTGTAACTAGGACGTCACTCTACCCGCCAGAGAACGCCAGTTGCACGGTTGGATATCCTGACTGCTCCTGGAGCACTCTTCACTGCTCCAGCGGGCTCTGGGGATAGAATGATTGCCCTGACTCCCCCTGACGTTGCCGGATGGGGTGCTTTGAAATCTGGCTCATGCCCGACGTACCGATTCCTACATGTCGGCGCCCCGTTCTCTCTAGGCATACACCTCTCCGCCGTTCCGGCCTCTGGTATTCACAATTCGCCCATGAGATTACAAAAACATCACTCGCACGACGATCTCTACTGTGTTCAGAGCACTCGCGACTGCACTTTGAGAATTGGTGTATTCAACACCGTGATCCTCCGCCTAATACTAAATACAATACGCCATTTAACACCCTAACTAACCCTAATACAATATACGAATCAGAAGAAATCCCCCACTATCTCCCTTAGCACTCGTGATTGTTCTACACATCCTCCTCCCCCCCCCCTTCGTAATCCCCCGCTACAGGTAATTCCGGCTCTTCTTCTTCCTCCTCCCCCTCCTCTTCGGTGTCAATGCCGCGAAGTCGGGCATTAATCACTTCGTCCTGGGCGCTGTCGGAATCAACCCGACCTCCTGGAGCACTCGTGGGTGTTCTCCGAGCATCTCGGAATGCGGCAAGATCCGCAGCCAGAGCTTCATCGTCCTCGCTAAAACCCTCCTCCGGTATAATCTCAATCGTTACCCCTTTTTTATCTCGTATCTATTAGGGTTAGCATTTAGAATACCACTCGCATTACCGGCATCTAGAAGTATCATACCTTTTCTCGAAGGTTATCTTTGATTACCTCCAAGGTTGCCTCCTGGTTCTGTTTACTTCTCCCCTTCCAAGTGTTGCTCATCCTGTTGAACGTTTCTACTCGTGTTTGGATGTCAGCTTGGCAATCCCGCATAGCCCTAGGAGCATCCGTCATTGCTCCCAAGGCACTCGCCATATCAATGAGGGCATCGGGCCATACTTACTCACAACACTCTCATTCTGCGACTGAAAATCATCAGGCTTCACGTAACTCCCTGTTGACCACGCCCGAATGCCGTGCCAGATCGCCGTCGATATCAGGCAAATAAGGGTAGGGGTTATCCGCTCTAGAAATTCGGGATCCCTAACCCCTCGCATTCTTACCCCATCGAAGTATTTAAAATACAATATATCGATAATTTCCGGAGCCAGGAAGCGCAGTCGGTAGGTCTAGAATCTGTTACCGGCTATCCCGAGTGCTCTCTGGGCATCCACTGGCATCATACCTCGTAATGCTGTTGGGGGCTCAAGAAACGATCATTCTTCAAAAGGTATTCCACTTGAGCCGCCCTCGCCTCAGGCCCCACAAAATCTCCAAGCCCATATATCGTAGAGTCCGCCAGGCGCCCTTTCACCTCGTGCATCAAGTGGGAACGGACACGGGAGTGCAGACTTCTGACCTATCATTCTCAATTATGCTTCCAGAGCACTCGTAATCCTTTTGGGGGCACTCACCTGTTTAATAACGACCTCATCAAGGTCTACTCAACACCCCACTCGGCGACTAGCAGTTGCCCACATGCTCACTACCAGTACCGAAAGTCTTGCTGCAGGTGGAAAGGGCTCATGTAGAAGAGTATGCTCCCCGATTAACACGCTACACTCCTTCTCAATCCTCTGAGCCTGCACTGACAGCACATTTGCACTCCTAGAGTTAGGGACCACAGACCTCTGAGTCAATTGGCTCGAAGGAATGTCGCCAGTGTTCTCAAAGACGTCGTGAGTGTCCTCCGGAATACTAACCTCGCTTCCCGGAATCAAAATACCCTCGCTTTCCGGCATCGGAGTACTCTCGTCCTCCTCCCTAGATGAGGGAAGGTACTCGATTTCGTAGACTCTTCGCGATCTACCTTGACCGTGAAGTTGGCTTGAAGGAATCTGACGACTGCTCACAGAGTTCTCGCCAATTACCTCGCTAGGCGGTGAAGAACGATATGTCCGGTAAGTGGGGGACGACTCCCCGTATCGAGAGCGCATCGAGGAAAAATCGATGTGGCGCGTAGAAGAGGTATACTCATGAGCATAAACAGGTGCAGAGGGCCTAGACTGTGAGGGTGTTGGGGGTGCTCTCTGGGATGCCGGGAGTGCTCTCTGGGATGCATTCTGGCTGGGTGCTGAAGTGGGTGCTGCTCTCCCTTGACCTTGTTTACGTATTACTTTCGCGCCCGGTCGAGTTCCCCTCTGAATCGTTAGCCACTAATACTTACATGTTAAAAAGCATCAATGAGCGAGATAGAGTCGAACCTGTACCACGTCCACCGACACGTTGGAAGAAGCAATGACCTCCGCTACCGCGCCAGTTGGTTTCCTCCGAGCATTGCCCAGTGCTCTGGCAGTAGTCGGCTGAACTGTATGAGGTCTCTTTCCGACAGTCTGAGACTTCTGGGTGTAAGATGGGGGGGGGGCTTGAGGTTCATCCTCATCCTCCTCAGAGCTCTCGTGGTCATTCTCCGGAGCATCATCATAGTCTGAGTGGCTAGTATCAACTATTTCTTCCACATCTGGCGCCTCAATTGCCTCTGGCGCCTCAATTGCCTCAGGCTCCTCCTGCGCTTCAAAATTATCAGTATGATCCTCGGGGAGATGAAATTCTACCCTCCTAGGACTGCTCCTCCCAGTGGGGGTTTCGGAGGAACGGAGAAGACCTTTCCGAGTTATTTGAGCGGCGGTGGTCGATTGACTACTCCGAGTGCGGGCTGGCAGTGGAGTCAATGTTCGGTAAGATATTTCAGACTCGTCAGTCAGTAAATCTTCATGTTCTTCAGGTCGTTTTGGGAGTCGTGGGCGCTTTGGGGCAAGAGGTGCTGAACCGGAGGAGCGCTTGGTGGGAGCCATTCTGATGACTGGCAGGAATATCCGCAGTGCTCTAGGAGCACTCGCGATATCTTCGATTAGAAATCAATTCTTGGCGAGAAAATTTGCGCCGCTAATCAAGAAAAATTTGCACCGCTAATCCTCTTACGGCAGGGATCATCCTATGTTACCACAATTTCTGCACTCAACCGCATCATTTATCATCACTCGTTTTACTGCACTTTCTGAAGCGGTACCGAGTGCTCTGAGAGCAATCTAGGAGTTTGATTCGACTTTGAAATAAAAGCAATGCAATTACTACCTGGAATAATCTAATCTAATCTAATCTAATCTAATCCTATCCGATATAACCCATCCATTGATATACTCTCGCAAGACAAAGGGAAATCCAAAACACCAAATCGTACCGCACCTCAATAGCTATCGCGAGTGCTCAGGGAGTAATCCTAACAACTATTAAAAGGTTAGTGACAATTCCGCAGGAAGGGAAGTTAGAGATTATACCAAAGGGAACTAATGATGCCCACCACCATCACCACCATCACCACCACCACCACCACCACCACCGCCTCCAGCTGGTCCTCCACCACCACCGCCGCCCGGAGGAGGAGGAGGTCCGCCCGGAGGCGGTGGAGGTCCTAGACCACCACCACCACCACCACCACCACCACCACCACCACCACCACCACCACCACCTCCACCACCACCACCTCCACCACCACCACCTCCACCACCACCTCCACCACCACCACCACCTCCACCACCACCACCACCACCACCACCTCCAGCACCAGCAGCCGCGAGTGCGTCAGCAGCTCTCTTGGCTGCTATCCCGGCAGGTGTCCAGATCGTCCCCTGTAAGAAGTTTGGGTCAGCAACCCCGACACCCAAAGGATACTTCCTAAGGTATTTGGGGTCTAAATCGTCGATAGCATCCTGCTGTCTATCGCGACGCCTAACAAGAGTCTGAATTAGCCTTTGATTACTGGCATCAGTTCTAGGCATATATACCCTCAGTCCTTTGGCATTTATCCGGTGCTTTCCCTCCTCGTAATCCGAATCCTCTGCAGGAATATCGATCATGCTATAATCATCTTCCTCAACGTGAGGGAAAGCCGGGTTCAACGGGGGGGATTCCGCACCACCCAGGTTAGCACCCGCGCCTGCTCTGTGGAGGACCGCCAATATCCTCCGAGGCCTGGCATTGCTGTTCTTCAACCAACCTTCGAGCTCCTCTGAATCGGTAATTTGTACCTCCACCGGCCGAACGGGAGGAACAGCTGCCGGGGGGACATTCTCAATTGCCCCCCAGATAGTCCTGACTGCTCTGCCGGGTGCGGTGTGCTTCAGGATCAAGTTGCATAGCTCGGGGAAAGTTATCTTGGTCAAAATTCCGATGAACGAAGGTTCGTTCAGGGGATCATTCCAGTCATAAGTAGGTGGTGGGACGAGCATAAAGAATGCCCCTAGAGCATCGGGGTCCACCACGGTAACCATTATGGAAGGTCGCACGAGTTCCGGAGGTACTGCACGCTCTTTCCCTTTGCGAGAGCGTCTTCCGGCTGCCTGACCACCGCCGTCATCATCATCATCACTATCACCGGCAGCCTCTTTGAACTGACGGTCTCCCTGTCCCCTTGATAACCTATCCTTCATACCAACATCTGCGATGAGCCACTGTAGAGCACTCGCCAGTGCTCTACGGGCATCGGAGTCACCCCCAGTCCAAATTGGCAGAAAACCGTTGAGGGAGGGCAAGTTCATCAAGTAAAGGCATAGGGCATTGAACGCAGCCATACCGGACGTGCTTTTATTGACCCAACCCACATTTTGCATTTCCGCCTTTAGGCTGTTGCGGATGCTGGTGTACACTCTAGGTAGGTTGAGTAGACCTAAAGTCATCTTCGCTTTGCTTGCTTGAGTCATCTTGAATGCGGTCGAGCTCGGGGATGTCTCTTGAATACTCGGGGATGTCTCTTGAACACTCGGGGATGTCTCTTGGACAATCGGCGATGGCTCGGGTCTAATTAGTCTCTGTCGTACTGGTGAGGGGTGGTCTATTAGTTCGGACGGGCTTGCACTAGAAAATAACCGAGAGGGGCGTCGGGGCTTGAATGTAGGGGTCTCCGGTGCAAGAACCTTCGGTGGAGCACTGACGGGTGCTGGTGAGGGAGTAGTAGAGCCTGCTGGGCCTGTTGAGCGGCCTGTTGCTGGGCCTGTTGCTGCTGGGCCTGTTGAGCGGACTGCACTAGACTTGGACCGAGTGAGAACTTGACTTGGGACTATGGTCTTCCGGGCAACGTTCTTTTGTGGAGCACTAGCGGGTGCTGGTGGGGTAGCACTAACCCTAAGTACGGTCGTCCGTACAAGGGCCTCTGGTGAAGCACTGCTGCGTGCTGAGGAAGCAGTGGAGACTGCTGCTAGTGGGCCTGTTGCTGGACCTGTTGCTGGGTCTTGATCGTCACTTATGTATGGTTCAGAGGGTTCGGAACTAAAGTCGGGAAAGGAGTCGGAATCAGTTAGGGTTGCTCCCCAGTTACTCGGGAAGATCCCTTCAGTGTCCGATGGAGCTAGGTTAGTATTTGGCGGAGTCCGGGTTTCAGTCCGGATTGGTGGAGGTACAGGGTTTTGTTTTCGGCTCTTGTTGATCGGGGTGAACCCGGAGAGCACTGGCGACTGCTTAGGGGGTGTTTCTGGTATCTCCTCCGGGATAGGCTTGACAGTTTTGCGGGACGATTTGCGACCTGAGGAAGTTCGGTGTTTCTTATGTTTTCGGGACGATTTGTGTTTCTTGGTTTTTCGGTGGGTCTTTTCGTTATCGTCTTCGTCTATGTCACGCAAGCGCTTCTTATTGGGAAGTTGATTTATGTTCTGTGAGCTACCGGGAGTGCTCTGAGCGGTGTTTGGAGTCTGATAATGTTAATGTATCACTGTGGTGAGTATGGTTCTAAAATTAATTGGATTAGGAGAGAGAAATACCATCTTATTTATAAAGATTGCAAAGGTTAAATCGCTTGAAAACGGAGGAACTTGAAGGATGAGATTTCAACAGGTAATGTTGAAAGCAATGGAAAACTTGAAGTGATAGGTAGAGGAGAACTTGAAGGTGGTTAGGAACTTCTCACGAACTTGAAGGAAGGGAGGGGTGCTCTTATACCGAGTACGATCAGCTTTTTTCTTGAGCTTATCACGCTTCCGAGAGCACCCACGAATGCTCTAGAAGCACTCGAGGGTGCTCGTACTCAATGTTTGCTTCAATATATGACGTTGATCTAAATGCTCCAGGCGCACTCGGGGATGCTCTGACGGTACCAATGGTGACGTCGATAACATTCTGGTGTTGGGGTTGGTGCTTGTGTTCTTGTTGGTGTTGGTACTCTGTCCTCTAGGAAGCTGATTCGGAGAGAATGTATTCTTTGAGCTCGTAGTCGATATTAGTGTTGAATTTGGCGCTGAGAACACTGTCTCGATCTGAAGAGACTCCGCGAGTGCTCAGGGAGAGAGTGCAGATGCTCAGGGCGATAGAATCTAGCATAACTGGCCGCCTGATTGGGGTGGTGGGTGTTTCTTCGTGTTGGTGTTGATGTTTGTATTAGGTTGGTGATGTATGACATCAGACTCGTATTGAAAATCAGCCTTGCCGACCGGGGTGCAGGTGAGAGGAGCCTCATTGGCTGACAAATCAAATCATTCGAGCACTCTGCAGCAGCACCTGCAGGAAAGAGCCTCCTCGGCCTTGGCAGAAACCAAATTTTTAGAGCACTCAGGAGTGCTTTGCTAGCATCATGAGACTTCAATGAAATCGTCTTGCCCCTTTTGCAGCAAGCGGTACAGCTCCTCCGCGAACTTCGATAAACATCTTCGAACTACACATCCATTTGAAGCAGATGAATGGCTGGGAAACCAATTTTTACTCCTGGAGCGCGATCAAGAGGCACCCGATGACACTCACGACAGCCCGGAAGGCATTCACGATTCCTATTCAGATGCCCATGACGACTCGGATAGTTCGGAGAGCAACAGTATCAATTATCATGACCAAGATCCCGATAATAATTCAGATCTGGAATCCGAATCATATTTTATGATGGAAGAGACAGATGGAGATGCAAATAGGCATGAGGCAGCGACAACGATTTACGAGGGTGCTGGGGAGCGTCTCTACCGCTCGGAGGACTACGACGAATGCTCACAAAACCTTCTCCGATACCCGTGGCACCCATTCAACTCAGCATACGAGTTTAGAATGGCACGTTATTTCATACTGTCGAAGGCCTCACAAGGAAATATCGACAGTTTCTTTCTACACGCTCCGTCAAGCAGTGGCGAATGCTCCTACAGGACTGGGCGAGGTTTTATAAAGAGGTTGGACGAAATGAATGACATATTGGGAAAGGCGAGCTGGCATCATTCGGAGGTGGATATTGGGGGAGAGAAAATCCCTTACTATTACCGGGATCCAATGGTAATTGTGCGATATCTTCTAGGCCAACGGGCCTTTCGGGAGTCATTGGTGTACGCGCCAGTGGTAGAGCATAATGAATCTGGCGAGAGAATGTACGGGGAAATGCATACGGGAGATTGGTGGTGGGAGACGCAGGTCTGGTAAGCCTCACAAGTGCTCTAGAGGCAGTCGCTAATGCTTTCTGGACAGAATACCTTACCGGAGGGGTCGACTGTGGTACCAATTATATGCGCGTCAGATGGCACACATTTGACAAATTTTAGTGGGGACAAGAAAGCCTGGCCAATCTATCTTACCATCGGGAACATCAAGTCATCGGTCCGGAGCAAGCCCACCGGGCATTCGTTAATTCTCCTAGGGCTACTGCCAGTCCCACCTAAGCTCGGGAAGAACTCACTCGCTAATTCCGCTTTACGACGTCAGAGTCAAATGGCGCTGCATCGCGCCCTTGGGGAGATCTTTCAGAGCATTCGGGAGTGCTCTCAGGAAGGCGAGCTAATCGCATGCGCCGACGGGTACGAACGTCTATGCTTTCCGGTGTTGTCGGGTTGGATCG